CCCAGCAGTTGAGAGGCTGAGGCAGGATTGCCACAAGTTTGAGGCCAGTGTGGGCTATGTAGTGAATTCAGGGACAGCCTGAACTATACAATGAGACCTTGTCTCAAAGAAAAAAAAAAAAAAAGAGCAAAGGACCTGCACAGACATTTCTGAAAAGATATACAAGGCTTAAAAAAAAATGCTCAATATCATTAATCATCAGAGAAATGTAAATTAAAACCACACGGATATAACTATTAGAATGGCTATCATCAAAAAGACAAGTGTTGGAAAGGACATGGGGAAAAGCAAGAGAAAAAAGGAAGGGTCACAAGGGATGACCACCTTCCAGAATGTTGCACTGTACTGGGGGAACAAGCAACATTCATGAAAATATGACATATGTGAGAATACTGGGAATGGGCCATAACACATGATACTGTTCACTCTCTTGAATCAAACCCAATAAGGACTATCCTAATCCAACTCTCTCTTTTTTTTAAAGAAAAAATTTGTAATATTTTATTTTACTATGAAAATCAACTTGTATCTTTAATCTCCACTGGTTACAGATCAAGGCTCTCAAACAAAAATAGACATAGAAGGTGTGGCAATTTGGTCATTATAATTTAAGATGTTCCTACTTTTACTTAATGAAAAAAGTAAAACACATTTAAAGAACATGGGGTTTCTTTGTTTGTTTTTGAGACAGGGTCTCACTTTGTAGTTCAGGCTGGCCTTGAACTCACTATGGAGTTCAGGCTGGCCTCCAACTCATGGCCATCCTCCTGCCTCAGCCTCCCAAGCACTGGGATTCCAGGCATGCACCACCATTCCCAGCCTAAAGGACATAACAGAAAAGAAAACAAAAGTTTCCTATCAAAAACATACACACAACTCATGAAGACCAGAAATTGACTGCTTGACACTTTTAAAAAATTGATTACAAATTCAAGAACTCAAAAGACCAAATACACAATGTGTGTTTGAATTGAACGCAGGACCTTGCACTTGCCAGGCAGTCACTTGCGCCACTGAGCTATATCCCCGGCCCCCAAATAAAATGATAAAGTAGCAAATGAGTGGAAAATGGAGCTAAGGAATCAAGTTACAATTCAAAACAAGTCAAGTTTTGAATGATCATAGGCTGGAATACAAGTTGGGCAATTTAACAAGACCTTATCTCAAAATAAAATAAAAAGTGCTGGGATGTAGCTCAGTGGTAGAGCTAGCATTTATAAGACTCAAGGTTCCATCTGCATTACCAAAACACAAACAAACAAACAACCCCAACAATTAAAAAAATCTGTCAATTCAATACATTTTTAAAAATCAATAAATAAGAAATAATAGCTGGGCATGGTGGTCCATACCTGCAATACCAGCACTCTGGAGGCTGAGACTGGAGGATCACCACAAGCTTGAGGCTAGTCTATAGTGAGTTTAAGGCCAGCCTGGACTACCTAACAAGACCTGCCTCAAAAACAATACAAAACAAAAAGAGAAACATGCTGGGTATGGTGGCACATGCCTGTAATCCCATCATTTGGGAGGCTGAGGCAAGATGATCACCATGAGTTCGAGGCCAGCCTGGGCCACACATGGAATTTAAGGACAGCTTGAACTACATAGACCCTGTCTCAAAAACAAAACAAAACAAGCAGCATTAATGCATCCAGAAACTAGAACATAGATATCAAGGATAAAAAGAAGAGCCAGGCCGAGTGGCACATGTCTGTAATCCTTGCCCTTCAGAGACTGAGGCAGGAGGATTGTTGCAAGTTCAAGATCAGCCCGGGCTACAAAGTGAGCTCAAAGCCAGCCAGAACCGCATAACGAGACCCTGTCTCAAAAAAACAAACAAAAAACAAACAAAAAAAAGGATAAAAAAGACCAGGCAACATCTGAATAATAACTGGAGTCCCTAAAGTAAAGGACAAATCAATAGGAAATACATATAAAGATATAGTATGGAAAATCTTCTTGCATAAAAAATAGGCTATTGGGTCTCTTCGCGGTACCCGACCCTACACTGTACGATGTATTTCTTTCCTTTTTCTTACCTTTACTTGGCCCAAACTCACTCTGCAGAGCCTGTTTTATCCTAGCTTTGAAAAATGTAAAACTTTGCCACTGACAAAAAAAATCTCAGACTGAAAGGGAACATCATAAACACTGAGAAACACGAATAAAGAACCATCAATATCCAGACATATTCTGGTTAAGTCTATCATTTCGAGTATCATTAAATAATTCTTTAAGCAGTAAGTTAGAAAAAGTCACAAGATGAATATAAAAAACACTGATGATGGCAGCAGTGTTAGTCTCCCCTTGAGCACAGAATCCATTTTTAATCAGTGGAAAACTATGGAACCAAACCATATGGACCCCTAAAAAACTTCTGTTCAGTTTTGCACTTATAAATACATTCTTGAGAAATGTCAAAGACACTGGAATCTAAGAATCTGTATCCTTAAACTGACATAAACTCTCATTTAATAACAAATGTCAGAATTCCTTTGTTGTTGCTTAGTTATTCTTTTTTCTTCTTTGAGATTGGGTCTTGCTGTGTAGCTCAGGCTGGTCTCAAATTCCTGTGCTGCCGGGAATGGTGGCGCACACCTGTAATCCCAGCACCTGGGAGGCTGAGGCAGCAGGATAGTTATGAGTTCGAGACCAGCCTGGGCTACAAAGTGAGGTCAAGGCCAGCCTGAGCTGCATAGTAAGACCCTGTCTCAAAAAGACAAAAGAAAAAACACAAAAAATCAAATTCCTGGGCTCAAGTGACACTACCGCCTTAGTTTGGGAATGATAAAATTCTGTTGTGTTTTCCTGACACTTCTTTTTTTTTTTTATTTTAAGGATAAAAGGAGGGAAACATTAACAGACATACAACATTTTACAACATATCACAAGCACAATACAGACAATACAGAGTTACAAACAAAGTGGTAGGGAATTAACAATGGTGGTTGTATTACATATTGATATCTTCAAAGTGGCTTCTCATGAAAACAGATATAGACATGCAATACTGGTCAACCAAAGACTCATTGACAGTTTCTTTCAGCATAGAAATCCTGACACTTCTTACAAATCATTTAAAAACCTGTTTAAAATATAAACCTTTCTTTGTCAAGAACTATGAAACATGTTTAGGTAACAATGATAAGTCATAAAACATTTAATGAAATAAATAAAAAGAACTAAGTGAGCACTGAATCAAACTACATACAGGATTAAGGATGAAAAAGAGGGGGAAATGGTGGCAGTGGCTCTGAAAGTAAAAATAAGACAAACATCAAAGTTCAAGTGACAGCCGGGGATACAGCTCAGTGGCACAAGTGCCTGCCTGGCAAGTGCAAGGTCCTGAGTTTGATTCCTGATACTGAGAAGAAAAAAAAATTCAAGTGACAAAGCATGGAAAAGGGAAAGAGACAATTATTTATCAAAGCAAAGAGTCAATTCATACTCTAAATCTCAAAGAGCTCAATTTTATAATAATTTACTTAATATTTTTTGTTCTTAGACCTTTTCTTTTGGTACTAGGAATCAAACTCATGACCTCATGCTTGCCGGGCAGGCGCTGTACCGCTGAGCTAAATCCTCAGCCCTTATTCTTAGATCTTTTAAGAACTCTTTAAAAACAACATGTAAGACTCAGCAGTTCTTAGTTTTACTTTAGTTTCACTTTTTGTTATGCTCCATTCAAGTAAAACTTTAAAAAAAAAAGAACGTATGTATATATCAATGAATGAATATAATTTTGGGGTGGGGCAGTTGAGACATGCCTTGAACTCAGTATGTCGCCCAGGTTGGCCTTGAATTTGAGGTGTTGCTCCTGCCACAGCCTCCCAAATGCTGGGATTACAAATGTGCGCTACCACAGCTGTCTAAATCAAACAGTATTTTAATTTTCATGTTATGCTTCAAAACTTTAATATATGAAATAATTCAAATTGTCAAATATGTTTAAAATTATATTTTAGTTTTATTTTAATAAATTCAAATAAGATCATTAATTATAAAACTTTTCAGTATAACCCTATCTGGCGTGGTTTATGTACATTTCTCCTCAACGGCCCACATTTAAAGATCTGGTTGCCAGCCTATGGTGTTACAGGGCGGCAGGAGGTCCTACTGGGAAGAAGTTCAGGCAGTGGGGATGTTAACCCAGTAAAGGAAATACTGGGACTTCGCCCCTTTCCCTTTTTACTATTTTCCAGCCTCCTGAGCCAAGCTGTTTCATCTGCTATACGTTACACCATGATATACAGTATTGCCTTAGCACAAACCCAACAACAGCAGGCCGATGACCATGCTCAACCACTGGCCTCTGAAACTGCGAGCCAAAATAAACCTGTCCTCCTTACAACTTCATTATCTTGTATATTTTCTCACACAATGGAAAACAAATACACTAGCCATTAAAAAATTCAATTCATTTTTCTAGCCATCCTTCTAGTTTTCCACTAAAACCACACACAAGAGAATTACCTGGAGCATTAATCGAATGTTATCAAGCACTGCTTATTTCTGAGGGAAACAAATTCTGGATATTTGATTGCTTTACTCTTTTTAGGTTTCTATATTATTTAAATTTTATTATTTTTTCTCTAATCAGATTTTATTGGTACATCTTAGATACATATAATGATCACATTCATCATAGAGAATTTGTACCTGTACATGATATAACTTGTTATATTACTTAAATTTTATTTATTTGATTACTTAAATTTTAAATGAACATATATTATACTATAAAAATAAAAGTCTTTTATTAATCAGAAAAACGGCTCTTTAATCACTGCAATCTTCTTTTCCCAGCAGGAAAGGCTATCAGGAAAAACATCTTTTACACTAGCAAAGACAACTCAATGCAGAAGTGTAACCATATTAACAAGCACACAAAACAGATTTGAGTTTTCTCTTTGGGCTTTGTAGAACCTAAATGAACAGACTTGTATCACCAGTACAGGTACATGGTATCTACAGAACAAGCCTCAGAATTCTCATACCTTCACAACAGGATGGCCCCCAGTAGATGCTTTTACTGCCCCTCGGCTACCTTCCGTTTCATAATGGGCTCGATGATGCGTTTTAGGTTGCACTTCTATTTTCAGTTCACATTGTCCAAAGTGAGTTGGTAAAGGCCAGTCTAATGGAGGTAATGAAGATGTGCTATAAATAAAACACACAAAGACGCTAAACATCATGCTATTGTCAGTGATTCAAATAACTTCTTTGCCAATACTTGTCATCTCTGAACAAAGTATTTCAAAATAAACTTCATTTAGCATAACAGTGGTTATGGTAGGTGTGTAATAAATAATTCTTTAATCTGAATACTAAAATCTATTTTATCTACTTTTTGGTTTCCCATGTTTTCTCATTTTTTGTTTTTTTTTCCGGTACCGGGAATTGAACTCATGACCTCACGCTTGCCAGGTAGGCACTGTGCCCCTGAGCTAAATCCCCAGCCCCTGGGTTCCCATATTTTCTCAAAAAGGACATATTCTAAATATTTGTAAAACTAAGACTATTTCTCAACTATGTGTACTTAATTACAAAAACCACCCAAACTACAGTAATTTGATTCCTTAAAGCAAAAAATACACATTTCTGTGTATGTCTCAGTTTCCCTCCAAGAATCTAAAATCTTACTCCTGGCCTCACTATGTAACCCTCCCTCCCTGGGAGGAATCTGGAAGTCAGACATCTTTCCTTCCCTACCTCTTCTCTATTATTTTTGTCATCTCTGAAAAATTATTTATATTCAGCAATATATTGCAATTTGAGGTAAAAAATTTCACTATGTATTTAACTGAAAAAAAAAAAAAAAAAAAAACAAAAAAAAAAAACCCCACAAAAACTGAAGCATCTTTAACACATTCCCACCAGCCTGAACCACTAGTGGTACACACATGAATGCTCCATCGGGCAGCTTGTATCACCCAATGGGACAGTAATCCACGTACCGCCAGTGGTTCAAAGCCTCACAGCAGTGAAGTTTTTGAACTATGGCCCTGTTGTGAACATGTTAAATGATAATTCTTTTGTTTTTTTGAGACAGGGTCTTGCGATATAGTTCAATGTGGTCTTAAACTCACTGTGTGGCCTGGGCTGGATTCAAACTTACAGCGATCTTACTACCTCAAGCTCCTGAATGCTGGGATTACAGGCAAGTACTACCACACCAGGCTAAATGATACTTTTTAAACTTGATCAATGAAATAATTTAAACATCTTAAAGGTCTAAAGGTTTGTTTAGATATACTAACACTAAAAAATATAGAATTAGAAAATAATATATGAAGTCAGGTGTGGTAGTGCATGACTATTAACCTAGTACTCTGGGAGGCGGGCAGGCAGGAGGGTCACAAGTTCAGGACCAGTTTGGACAACTTAATGACTTAGTGAGACCCTGTCTCAAAATAAAAATTAAAACAAGGGCTAGGGATATAGCTCCATGCAAAGGCCCCTGGTTCAGTCCTTAGTACAAAGAGGAAGAGAGGAAGAGGGAGAGGAAGAAAGACTGAGGGTGTAGCTCAGTGATAGATTGCTTGCCTAGCATGTGTAGGCCCTGGGTTCAATCCCTGGCACTGAAAAACAAAACAAGGCCAGGGGTATAGCTCAGCGGCACAGTGCCTGCCTGGCAAGTGCGAAGTCCTGAGTTTGATTCCCAGTACCAAACAAAAAACAAAACAAAACCACCTAAACAAACAAAACAAAAACAACAAGAAAACTGAGATATCTACAGGTCAAATATTAATGGACCCAAAACTACTGTGGTCTGTGTCAAAAAGTAACACCTTAGTAAAAGGTGAAGTAAAGCTTTCAATTTTTCTGTTCTTTTTTCTTTTCCTTTTTTCTTTGTTCCTTTCTTTCCTCTCTCTCCCCACTTCCGCTCATCCTGTTTTTGTTTTGTTTTAATTTTTTATTGTTTTGTCTTTTTGAGACAGGGTCTTACTATGCAGTTCAAGCAGGCCTTGAACTCACTTTGTTGCCCAGGCTGGCCTTGAACACGCAGCAAGCCTCCTGCCTCAGCCTCCCATTGCTGGGATTATAGGTGCGCACCACCACACCCAGCTGTTTTTTTTTTTGAGACAAGGTCTCACTATACACTTTAGGCTGAGCTTGAGCTCACTATATAGCCCAGGCTGGCCTCAAACTCCCACTGATCCTCCTGCCTCTCTCTGCCTCCCAAGTGCTGGGGTAACAGGCATGTACCACCATATCTAGGCATCTTCTAACCTTTAAAATGGTTATCATTCCTAGTGTAAATTTCTAAATTATACATTACTTCCTTTAATGTACTCATTACAGTTTAAGTCTTCCTACTACACAGCTCAAAAGTATTATTACTTTTTAAAAATTTTCTCTAGTACTGGGGACTGAACCCAGGGCCTTCATGCTGAGCTACATCCCCAGCCCTTTTATTTTATTCTTCAAATTTTGAGACAGGGTCTCAAGTTGCTAAATTTCCCAGGTTGGGCTTGAACTTGCTATCCTCCTGCCTCAGCCTCCCAGAAGGCTGGGATTACAGGCATGTTCCACCATGCCTGGCTAAGATTAATTTTTACTAGTCTAAAACAATGTCAATTTTATCAACTGTTAGTTCTGCATTTGTGCTGCAGACATGAGCAAACTCATAGGAAGGAAGATAAATTTTAGAAACAAAGTGATGCCTTTGTCAGACGTAACAGCACAACCTGGTTACATAGTGAGTTCAAGATCAGCCTGCACTACATAGTGAGACCTGGTCTCAAAAACAAAACAAAGTGATGTCTTCAATAGCACAGATTCCATATTATATTTTTCTAAAGATAAGGATTCCAGAAATAAGTTATTCATACTAATAAAAAATTATTTTTAAAAAATCCCTAAACAGACACAATTCCATGTGGGAATTTATTTATTTTTTCATGTGGGAATTTAATGTATGATAAAAGATGTCTTTTTTAATGAATTATAGATTAGACTGAATCTTCACATGATATTGTAACAACTGTCAACTTATTTGGAAAGTAAAAGTTATTATATTATTCTTCATTCCTTACACCAAAATAATGGTAGATCCAAGATTCAAATATTTATCTGATAAAAATAAAAATATCACACATATAATATACACATAGTAACACACAAAAAACTTTATTAGAAACACATGTGAAAGCTATATTTTAAATTATTTTAGAATGGGATGAAAGTTTCAAATATAACACACATAAGCAATAAAGCAAAATCTGAGTACAAAAAACTGAAAAATTTCTCTACAAGAACAACGAATCATAAACTTACAAAGTTAAAAAATAAAAAAATCCAAAGGCTAAGGTTGGTGGTACATGCTCATAATCCTGGCTATTTGGGAAGATAAGGCAGGAAGATGACAATTTTGAGAATAGCCTAAGCAAATATCTGTAACTCATTACTTATATACTTTTAAAATTAGCCTATCTAAAGATACTTTTAAAACTTAAAGGAAAATAAGCCAGGCATGATGGCAGATGCCTGTAATCCCAGCATCTGGGGGACTGAGGTAGGAGGCCGCAAATCGGAAGCCAGCCTGGGCTACACGGTGAGTTTAAAGCCAATCTGAACTACATAGTGAGACCCTTGCCTCAAAAACAAAACATGGAAGAAAAAAAAGACTTAAAGGAAAATAAAAATGGAGGACAGGAAAGGAAGAGGTAAGAAAGGGGCAGGAGATAGGGATGAAAGGGAAGGGAAAGACAGGATGAGGAGAAAAATGATCAATTATAAGTAGATAACATACTTACATGCTACTAATGAACTATACACATGAAAAATGATCAGCAGCCATGTCTACCAACTCACCGAAATATTGGGGTGTGGCCAGGCTTTGGTTTGTTCCAGGTAAAGGGTGAAGGAACTGAAAGAAATTGGTCACCAGATGAATCTTTCTTTAAAGGATACTGAGATCCAAGGCCATCATCTATTGAAGTCTCCCGGGACGGTGATGTACTCCCTTGATCATCTGAACAGAGCTCTAATTTTCCTGGTAGTATGGCAGCTTGATCTTCAGATGTCTTCCTTGTTTTCAGAGGGATATCAGTTTCTACACAGTATTGAAAGGGAAAAAGTGCAGGGCCAAGGCCTGATCCACTGTGGACAGAAACATTAAGCCAGGTATCTTCTGTTACACTTCCCCTAGGGGAGTGACCAGGAGAAGGAACCGGTGAGTGATGGGGTGAAAGGGGCCCAGCATAACAAACTTCAGCACTGGAGTGCCGCCGTTTCCCACAGGGGGAGGTAGGCCTTGAAGAAGGACCTGAGGCTGGCCTGGGGCTCAACCAATTTTCATCAGTGATACTGGATCTAGGAGAGTGGCAAGGAGATTGCCTGGGTGACAAGGAATGCCCAAGTCCATACTGTTGATGCCAGGACTCTTCTCCAGGGCAGCCCCCTGGTGAGCCACCTGGAGAAGTCAGAGGGGATCCAAGAGTAAATCGGGAAGCAGCTTCATTCAACTCTGAGTCTACATCATCATAAATGTGTGAGAGAGATTCACAAGAAGATGCATCTGAAAACCAGCTCCTAGAAGAGATGCTGCTGGCAGGACTAGGACTAAGGGAAGACTCCCGGTAGGATGGCTCAAGAGGAAGATAGAGATGATCTCTAGAAGGCCTCTCCAAATATTCTCCTTCTGGGTCAGTTATATGTAGGTCATCTTCATGTGTATCTGTTTCTTGATGACAATTAGGTGAAATAGATGTAATTTGAATACTTGGGCACTCAAAGGGTTTGGGACCACCTAATGGGCTATATTTAGATTCAGGAACATCACCAGTTCCTTCATAGTTTTTGTGACCTTGGAGCTGAAACGATGGTGACAAAACAGAAGAGTGAGACGGTAATCCATGATGTGGTAAGCAAAGTGGTGAGTTTAAAGTAGATGGAGGTGGATCTACATTAAGGATGAAAATGGATGCACAATCATCTGGCTCAAGATCTATGGGAAGAAGGAAAAAAAAGGTCAACAAAATAAGGAATTAGAAAATTTAGATGTATGCATTAGATGAGAAAGTAAATAATAATAATAATCTTGGGAGAAAAAAGTGGGACACAAAATGTATATCATTAGCTCCACTAAAGAATTGTTATTTAAAAAATGTATCATAATTATTACATATTTATACATGTAATGATTTTTCTTTATTCTCACACTTTCAAAAATGATAATCAGAAAATATTGTCTAAAACTAGTAAATGCTAAAAGAAGGGAAAAGCAAAAACTATATATATATATATATATATAAAATACACACACACACACACACACACACACACATGCACAAAATAGGTGAGACAGTTATACTCCTAATTTCTCTTAGTTCATTGAAAAGAAAGGTTTAATTTCTCTTAGTTCATTGAAAAGAAAGGTTTGTGCTAATATAGTTTGGACAATTAAATGCCTATATCTTGTACTCTAAGTAACTAATTTAAAGATAACAATATGCAATGTATTAACCATTGCTACTCCCTTATTATCTTGCTTTCAAATTTTGTTTTCTTTTCTCTTTTTTTTGTTTTTGGTGCCAGTGATCAAACTCAGGACCTTGCGCTTGCCAGGCAGGCGCTTATGCCACTGAGCTATATCCCCGGCTGTTTTCTTTTCTCTTTAAAATAAAATTAAAAAAAAAAAAAACTAATAAATGCTTTTATGAAAGAAAAATCATGTCTGTAAAACAATGAACTACCGTACTAAGATGAGAGAGAAAGATTCAATGTTTCCTAGGAGGTGCTTTTTTTCTTTTGGGGCTACTCTACCCAAATTCCCTGCCACTAGCTAGCTGCAACAGGGGCCCCATGGCTGCTCCAGTAGGTATTTGCTTTGGCTGCAGCAAGTTCCAGTCAAGGACCTATCCCAGATAACAGCCTCTCTGGATGGCAACCTCTCTGGGTGACTCCAATCTTCTGCAGCCCTCCTTAATCAGGTCCACAAGGTTCCCCCATCCCCAACAGGCCAAGCAGAAAGTCTGACATTGTGCATGCGCCAGCCTACTTTGTTTTGCTATTAAGCAATCTTCCCATACTCTTAGCAGGTCAATCCATGCCACAGCAAAAGTTCTAATAATATATCTTTCAGACAGCATATTTTTGCCTACTGGTGATTTCTTTTTTCTTTTTCTTCTTCTTTTTTTTTTTGTCTTTTTTGAGACAGGGTCTCGCTATTCAGTTCAGGCTGACCTTGAGCTCACTTTGGAGCCCAGGCTGGTCTTGAACTTGCAATGATCCTCTTGACCCAGCCTCTCAAGTGCTGGGATTACAGGCGTGAGCCACCATGCCTGGCTTGCCTATTGGTGATTTCTATCTTACATACAGCATGATGAGCTAGTGCATTAAGAGGTAGTGGCACCAAAGTTCACAGGTGCCAAGTGGCCAAAGCTGGTAACACTGAATATGCTGGCAGCACAGAACTGAGAAATGCAAGAAGATCCCCTCTCCAATGTCAGGAATAACTCCCAACACCTGCTAGTAGCTGCCTGTTCCAAGCAGCAAGGATACCAAGATATTTTTTTGGCTTATAAGATTAGCAAAACTTGAAAATTTTACAGACATGGTTGTGGGGAAACAGACACATTCATACCATGCTAATAGGAATGTAAAATAGAATGACCACCCTGAAAAACTCTGGCAATTTCAAGTAAAATAAAACACATTTAAAAAAAAAACACTTTAAATAAGATGTAGCAATTTCACTTTTGGGTGTGTACTCTTTAGAAAATTGCTATATTCACACAAAAACCTGTACAAAAATGTTGAGAGCATTCTATCTGTAATCACAAAAAATAAAAACAACCACATGTATTTGCACATTGGAATATTTACTGAAGAAAAGAGATGTATTATTGATAATGCAACAACCTAGAAAAGTCTCAAAGACATTATGCCCCAGGAGAAAGAAGTAAGTTAAAAAAGTGGTATATACTATATAATTCCATTTACGTGACATCTTTAAAGACAACAAAACTACAGTGACAGAGAACAGATCAGTGGCTGCCTGTGATTAGAGGTAGAACTAGGGTGTGACTATAAAAGGAGGCAGATCTTTATTAGGGTGATAGAACTGTCCTGTATGTTGATAGTAGCTGTGACCATATGAATTTATACACATTAAAATTCAGATCTGTACACCAAAACAGTACCAGTTTTACTGTAATTTTTAAAGTTAAAATTTTAAAACTTAACAAAAAGAATAAGGTCATGTCAAAGACACAAGAGTTAACTTGAGAAGGGTCCCAATAACCAAACTTGGAATAAATTGCAGAATAAAATAGGTAATACTGTATCAAAACCCACAGAATCAGAGGAGCTTCCAAGAGTCCATACTGATTGTCTTAGTAACATTTCTGTTACTAAGATATAATACCTGACACCCACCGTTTAAGGAAGGAAAGGTTTATTTTGGTTCATAGTTTTAGTCTATGTTCAGTTGGTTCCAAGGCAGGAACAGGATGGCAGACAGGCAACAGCAGAGAAAAAGGTGCTCAACTCATGACAGCAGAGTGAAGAGCCAAGAAGAGGGACCCAGGCCATGCCCACAATGACCTACCTCTTTTGACCAAGTCCCACCTCCTAACAGCACATTTGACTCCCATGATCCAATCACTGTTTGAAAGTCCTCTCTCTGAACACATGACCCTTTTGGGGGGCATTCTAGATCTAAACTATAACACTGATATAAACAAACAGCTGAGTAAATACATGAATAAACAAGATGGGACAGTGCTTACTTATACGGAAATTCCAATTAATAAATCCAGAGTGAGGCATGGTGACACATGCCTATAATTCCAGCTACTCAGGGATCTCATGCAAAAGGATTACATAGCCTCAGTCTAATAATGAGAAAATATCAAACAAACCCAAACTCAGACAGTTGTGGTGGCTCATGCCCGTAATGCCAGCACTCAAGAGGCTGAGACAGGAGGGGAACAGCTGTGAGTTCAAGGTCAGTTTGGGCTAGATAGTCAGTTCAAGGTCAGGCTGAATTTCAGGGCGAGATCATGTCTCAAAAAAAAGCTGGGTGTGGTGGCACATGCCTGTAATCCCAGCACTCAGGAGACTGAGGCAGGAGGATTGTTATGAGACCAGCCTAGGCTACATAGTGAGTTCAAGGCCAGGCTGACCTACATAGCAAGACCCTATGGTAAAAAAACAAAGCCAGCCGGATACAGTGGCTGTCGTGGCACACATCTGGAATTCCAGCACTTGGGAGGCTGAGGCAGGAAGATCGCTGCAAGTTGAAGGCCAGCCTGGTGAAGGCCAGACTGAACTGCTTTGTGAGACACAGTCTCAAAAACAAAACAAAGCAAAACAAAGCAAACCACCAGGATGACAAAAACAAAGCCAAAACCAAACCAAACAAAGCCAAACTGAGAGGCATTCTACAAAATTACAAGTGGGTGGACCCCTGACTTACAAACTCATCTTTCTTGAGGGCTGGTTGTAACTCAAGTTGCTTGTAAGCCAAAACTTTTTTTTTTCCTTAAGAAATAATGGAAATACACATTAGCATCCCCCAAAGCACCCCTTAACTAATCTTTCCATAATAAAAAAGGACTGTAAGTATACAGAATTTACCAGAAACACACCAATAATTTTCCTAGTGTATTCACCAAAAAGTTATAAAATATACCTAGTTATAACATTCCTTCCAGAACTCTTTAAGGGTTAAATCTGGAAGCCCTTCAGAAAGTTCCTTGGTGTATAGCTTCTTCTTTTTCTTCTTCTTTTTTTTTGGTATTGGGAACTGAACTCAGGACCTTGTGCTTGCCAGGCAGGTGCTTGTGCTGCGGAGTTACATCCCTGGCCCTATAGCTTCTTAAAGTTAGCTATATAACCTGCTGGTCCATAAGCTACAGTAGAGGATTTGCATTAGGTGGGAGGAACCACACTGAGAGTCATGGGAATTCTTCAGCCAATCCTTCCAAATCTCCTGGGTGAGCAGGAGCATTGTCTATGATGAGGAGAGCCTTGAATGGTAAACCTTTGTCCTTTAGATCTCTCTTTTTTGTGACAGGATCTCTTTATGTAGTACAGGCTGGCCTTAAACTCACTATGTAGCCCAGGTTGGAATCAAACTTACAGCAATCCTCTTACCCGAGTCTGCTAAGTGCTGGGATTACAGATGTGTGCCACTATGCCCAGCTCTCTAGGTATTTCTTAACAGGAGGAAAGTTTCCCTGATCCACTCAAGGAAAAGTAGTCTTGTTACCCCAGGCTTTTGTGGTAGATCTGCACATCACTCATAGCCTATTCTCCATGACTTTATGTTTTCTGAGCACTCTAGGGTCTCAGAGTGAGAAATCAAGACAGGCTTTATCTTGAAGTCACCACTCCCATTGGCCCATAGCAGTAAGCTTAGCCTATCCTTCATAGGCTTGTGGTCTGGCATTTTGTTCTCTTCCTGGGTAATGTATGTTCTCCTGAGCATTTTCTTCCAGAAAAGGCCAGTTTCATCACAGTTGAATATGAAAGGAAAAGCCATTTCTCTGTCACTGTTTTGAAGTGGTGCATGTAATTTTCAGTAGCCCTTTTATCAGCACTGGCTGCTTCACCATGCCTAGCTACGCTATGAACCCTAGTTCTCACTTTAAAATTGTGAAACCACCCCTTACTGGCATGAAATGTTCATCATTATCACTTGTTGATGGATTACCCTTTATAGAATTTGCATTTATAGCCCTAGCTTTTTCACAAATTATAAACTCGGGCTACAACCTGCTGTCTTAGTTACTTTTCTCTCATTGCTGGGACAAAGTACCCGACACCCAAAATTAGGGAAGGAAAGGTTTATTTAGCTCACAGTTTATAGAGGTTTCAGTCTATAATCAGCTGGCTCCAAAGGAGGGTGGCAGGGCATAGGGGCAATAGTTCATGGCAGGAGAAGACAGCAAAAGCAACAAGAGCAAAAAGGGGGGAGCAAAGGTCTTTTCCACCCTTATATTGTAGCAGGCTATCCACCCTATGGCCAGTGGAGCACTCACATCATCTCAGTACCCTCCTCTTGCAGACTGAGGATGTTTACAAAGCCATGATGCTGGCCCCCGGATGAGTCCTTTAGTTAAGATTTCAAACTTCTCAAGTTGACACAATGTATCAATCATTACACTTTTCATTTGCCTTTTATCCACAAATAGTAGCCTTTCTACCTCATCTAACACTATCGTGACTTACTACTGTAATGTGAGTAACACCCTTAGCATTACCAGCTTCCTTATTTTCTCTGTAAGATTGTAAAGACGGTGGATGTTGACATGCTGTACATATTAGTGAGATCTGCCATGCTCATATTTCTCCACAATTTCTTCTTTTTAATTGTGACTGCTCTCTTTACCTTCCCTCCCTCCCTTCCTTAGCTTTTCTTCTAGCTTTTTTTTGTGGGGGAGGTCGGGGTGCATTTTAACAACCTTATAAAGAGCTAAAACTATACAACTCCTAGAAAAAAATGGAGAAAAGTTTCTAGACAATTGGATCTGGTAATTATTTCTTGGATATAACATCAAAAACACAGGCAACAAAAGTAAAAATACGAAAGAAACTCATATACAGTATCTTATATGGGATTAACATCCAGAATCTAAAAGAACCCCTACAACTGAATAATAATGTTTTAAACTGGACAAAAGAGTAGAATAGATATTTCTCCAAAAAGGATATACAAATTTTCAAAAAGCATATGAAAAGATATAATAGTTATTAATCACAAGGGGAATGCAGGGCTGGGGATGTAGCTCAGTGGCAGAAGTACCTGCATGGTAAGTGCAAGGTCCTGAGTTCGATTTCCAGCACCAAAGGAAAAAAAAAAAAAAACCAAGGGAAATGCAAATTAAAACCACAGTGAAATACCACTTCATATCCATCAGAATGGTCACTATTTAGTTAAAAAACTAAAAAGAAACAAAAGAAAGTCTAGGAGAAATAGAGAAATGGAAAAATTAGACCCTTCATATGCTGTTGGTGGGAATATAAAACTGCCCAGGCATGGTGGCACACACCTGCAATCCCAGCACTTGGGAGGCTGAGGCAGAAGGATTACTGTGAGTTCAAGGCCAGCCTGGGCTACAAAGTGAGTTCAAGGTCAGCCTGAACTGTATAGTGAAACCTTGTCTTGATTTTATTTTTGTTTTTTGTACCAGGAATCGAACTCAGGACCTTGTGCTTGCCAGGCAGGCACTTGTGCTGCTGAGCTATATCCCCGGCCCCAAAACCTTGTCTTGAAAAGACAACTAATAACAACAACAACAAAAACGATGTGGTTTCTAGACACTTGCAGTATGGCATCTCTTCAAAAAATTAAAAATAGAAGCCAGGCATGGTGGTAATAAGTCTCAAGTTCATCTGTTTACCTAGGCCAGAATATAACCTAACATGATTTTTCAGGATGCTTGTAACACAAGCCCTACCCTTAAAATAAGCTCCAGTTAAGATCATCAGCCAGATGGATGCAGCTAGTACAAACACTGCAACACATGATGGACATATTGAATTATAAAATAATATTAATATATAATTAAATATTATTGACATTAATACTTAAGTGATAATACAAATTACAATTTCTAAATACCCAAGTGGGTACTTTTGGATAGAGATAAATGCCTATGTAAACAGATGAATTTAAGACTTATTACCAAATGATCAAAGTACAGATACAATGCATGAATAACCTGTGCACTTGATAATGAACAAATGTGGTTGTGTCTGACATAAATCTTCATAATTCAATACCTTGTGTGCTATAACGGATGTACTCAATGTACTTGTGTGAAATAAAAACAATTTTTTTTCTAAATTTTGGTGCCTGTAGTATTTTATCACTTTTGTGTAGACCATCACTTTTTTGGTTTTGTTTTGTTTTTGTTTTTTTTGAGACAGGGTCTTGTATGTAGTTCCAGCTAGCTGTGAACTCACTTTGTAGCCAAGGCTGGCCTCAAAATCATAACCATCCTCCTGCCTCAGCCTCCAGGCATGTGCCACCACACCCAGCTCATCATTCTTAACTGTCATCATTTTTGTTGCCACTCCTGTCTCACGAGTCTTCAATTAACATTTGGTTTAATGGAAACTTTGGGAAGCCTAGCCTGCGAGAGGCCGTGACTTGGGTGAAGAGTTCATGGGATAAAATCACACATGGCTGCATTGCCAATGCATTACAAGCAGGCTAAATGCTCATTTAAGGACAGCTCTGTTGGTGGACATGAGAGATCATGGCCAATGGATCTACAGAAAATGGACTCACAAGAAATTTAGGCAGGAATTTGGGGTTTGGAGAGTTATGATGATGTTCCAAGAGAAGATGACATGACTATATTTAAATAAATATAGATTTTTATACATGAATAAATGTGCACTGTACATGAAAAAATAAGACATCCCTGAAAAAAAGCCCTACTGCATCTTTTGGAGCATAAGTTAATATAAGATGTAGTCTTATTTTCAGGGAAATATGGTAAAAAAGTTGAACACAAGTGCAAGAGAGGGTTTTATTTTTAATGAGGGATGGGGTCTCTTCCACTACTGTTTGGAGGTGTTTAAGGCAGCAAAAGGTGCCAAGTGTTGTGTTGTATTTTTTTCTTTTTTGTACCAGGAATTGAACTCAGGACCTTGCACTTGCCAGGCAGGCACTATGCTGTTGAGCTGTATCCCCGGTCCTGTTTTATATTTTGTTTGGTTTTAATGGACTGAAATCATCATGGGATTTTTTTTTCTCCTAC